ACAGAAGATTAACATTGTTTATTTAGTGAAGGCGCACTCAGCAGTATTCCATCTATATGACGGTGGTCTTTCAAATATTCTAGTCAGGCAATCCAGTGATTGACACCAAGAGTATCGATCTGTGCAATTGGAATACGATGACATACATCAATCAAGTAGGCGAGCTTGAGCATTCGATTCCGTTTATACTATGTTATCAAGCTAGGGTGATTTATGCACAAATAGTGGCGGAAGTTTATAGATCATGGTAATTCATATGACATGGATAGTTAACAGTTTATAGATCAGGGAAGGCGCATGGAGCAGTATTCGGTCTATATGGGGTGGTGGTGGATTCATGCACGGATAGTGATGCATAGTGGTGGTTTATAGGTCAGAGGGAATCTCATGCAATGGATAGTGGCAGTTTATAGATCAGGGGGAAGTCATGCATGGATAGTGATCGAAAGTGGCGGTTTATAGACCCGGGGTGGGGGTGGATTCATGCATGGATAGTGATGGATAGTGGCAGTTTATAGATCAGGGGAATTCATGCATGGATAGTGATGGATAGTTTTTATAGATCAGGGGAAGTCATGCATGGAAAGTGGCGGTTTATAGATCAGGGGAATTGATGCATGGATGTGATGGATAGTGGCGGTTTATAGATCGGGGGATGGGGGTGGATTCATAGATCATAGTGATGGATAGTGGCGGTTTATAGATCAGGGGGAATTCATGCATGGATAGTGTTGATAGTGGCGGTTTATAGATCAGGGGAAGTCATGCATGGATAGTGATGGATAGTGGCGGTTTATAGATCAGGGGGATAGGGGCAGTTTATGCATGGATAGTGATGGATAGTGGCGGTTTATAGATCAGGGGAATTCATGCATTGATAGTGATGGATAGTGGCGGTTTATAAAGATAGGGGGTGGATTCATGCATGGATAGTGGCGGTTTATAGATCAGGGGGAAGGCATGCATGGATAGTGGCAGTTTATAGATCAGGGGAATTCATGCATGGATAGTGATGGATAGTGGCGGTTTATAGATCAGGGGAAATTCATGCATGGATAGTGATGGATAGTGGCAGGATGGATATGATGGATAGTGGCGGTTTATAGATCAGGGGGAATTCATGCATGGATAGTGGATCAAAGGTTTATAGATCATAGGGCGGTCATAGATCAGGGAAGTGATGGATAGTGGCGGTTTATAGATCAGGGGAATTCATGCATGGATAGTGATGGATAGTGGCGGTTTATAGATCAGGGGATCAGGGAATTCATGCATGGATAGTGCGTTTATAGACCGGGTGTGGGGGGATTCATGCATGGATAGTGGCAGTGAATAACATCGTGAGCATCGATCTACGAAACTTGGAAACAATGACATGCACAAATACGTCATCCAGTCTGACCACGCGATCCCGTTAGTCGCCTCAAAGGAACAAGTGTATATTCGCCTAATACAACAAGCGTGTATTGATGGAGATTTTTAATGGTTAAAAGTCGCAATATTTACAAATCCCTCTGTCAATTTAGCATTTTATGGTTAGTATTGTTTTTTCATTGTTTAATGGTTAAATATCGGCGGTCTTTGACCTTTCAACAGCAAATCGATCTGCGCAATTGGACAATGTGAATCAGCGAGCCTTCCAATTTAGCGTTCTATGGCCTTTTGTGCTTTGAATATTTGCTGAGACCTATTCGACCCCGTCTTCATACTTTTCATACTAACAATAATAATAATTGCATTTATATAGCGCATCATTCACTAGTAAATGCTCTGTACGCTTAAAATGGAAAATGACACTTGAAAAGATATGTTTTGAGGGCAGTCTTAAAATATGTTAGTGACGCGCTGGTTTTGAGTTCAAACGCAGAGCATTCCACTTCATTGCTGCATTGAAAGCGAACGACTTTTTGCCAAAGTTGGTCATGATGTCTCTAGCCTTTGGTTTTGTGATCTCAGTGAGCGTGGAGGCTGATACTGGGGCAGTAACTCTGCGAGGTAGTTCGGGGCCATTCCTTTGAGACACTTGTACGTCATTACAATAGGTTTGTAGTAAATTCTTGCGGTGATTGGTAGCCAGTGTAAATCTTTTAGTATTGGAGTAATGTGACCGAAGACGGTAGATTTTGTAATGATTCTTGCAGCAGTGTTTTGGGGGGCTTGAAGGCGACGTAGCTGATCTTGGTTGTCGTTGTTGAGAAGGCTGTTGCAGTAATCTACTCGGGACATGACCAGAGATAGAACAAGTTTTGAAGTAGCATCAGCACTGAGATAATTGCGGTGTTTTCTAATGTTCCTGAGATTCATATGAGTCGTGCTAATGATGTTGCAGATGTGCTTGTCCATTTTCAGATTTTCATCGGGAATAACCCCTAGGTTCTTGACCTTCGGGGTTGGGTCTATGGTAGTATTTCCTATTCAGAAAGATGGCTTGTCAAATTTGGAAAGTTTTGCTTTTGATCCAATAAGCAGGAATTCTGTTTTACTTTCATTACGTTTCAATAGGTTCTTAGTCATCCATGTCTGAATGTCATTGCAGGATTCCGAAAGAGAGTCCAAAGATGGCAGGGCTTCCGTGGTAGGGAATGAAGAAGAGATTTGGTTCTCATCTGCATATTGATGTTGGTTGACTTTGTGCTTGGCTGCTGTTCTTCCCAGTGGTGTAGTGTACATAGAGAACAGCACTGGTCCTAGCACGGAACATTGGGGGACACCACTTCTGAGATCTGTGGGACTTGATGTTTTGCTCTCAATCATAACTACTTAGGTAGGATTGAAACCATGAAAGAGCAGTACCCTTGACTTTCAGGTCACTTTCCATTCTTGACAACAACGTGTGATGGTCAATAGTGTCGAAGACCACTAAAAGATCTAGAAGAACCAGCGCTGATACGTTTCCTTTATCTACTTCTGTTAGAATGTCATTGGTGACTTTTATTAGTGCTGTTTCAGTGGAATGGTTTGGGTCGATATGCAGATTGATGTTTGTCAAGCAGCTTGTGTTTCTTCAGGTGTTCAGAAAGGCGGGTACACACAGCCTTCTCTGTAACAATGTCACGAGATAAAAGGGAATGTTCATTCATGCCATGAATTCTGTTACTTGCATGTTGCATGTGATCTTTTTCTCGTCTCCGGTTTTTGTGTGTGTTTTGTACATGTATTTGTTTTAGTGTTGCTGTTTTTTGTTTGTTTGTTTAGGGTTTGTTTTGTTTGATTGATGTTTTAGGGCGGGGATGGGTATGTTTTATTTATGTTTTTGTTTTGGGGGAGTTGGGGGTAGGAATGTCTTTACTGTTTTGTTCTGTCTTTGTTTGTTTTTTAATACATTGTTTCACTATATATATCACGATGTTTTCGTATTCTTTCTAGTGTTTTACAGCCACCACATTGCTGGAATATTGCTGAGTGCGGCGTAAAACTAAACTCACTCACTCACTCACTCTCTTTCTAGTATTTCTTGCAATTTGACGGTTCATAATTTGGTAAAAATAATCCTTTTAGGCGCAAAGTTGTAGGTTTTCAAACCAAACCTTGCATTCGTATTTAACTATCACATAAAATGTAATTATCCACAAACAAAATGCCCTCTAGGTCGTGAAAGCCAGCAAACTTTACACAGAGACACACCTTTAACCCGATCCCGGTTGTCAGTCATCACTGTGTCACGTGGGATGTTGCCACAATTACTCATCACGTAGGACTTCATTCCTACGTGTTAACGGCTGGACCCTGGAGTGACGTGCGTGATCACACGGATATGTCTGCAATATATTTTATGGCAACCAACTCACTCACTTATCAATCAACAGATTTTGAAAATATGATGGGTACCGTACTCGCCGTATTTTATAAGCGTTCTGCTCAAATAAAACCCTCTCGCCAACTTTCTAACCACTTAGTAAAGTACATGTGTATTAGCAGTGAGTGGGGGTGTTTTTACGTCGCTGTATGGCATGTCCGAGCAATATCGCCGCAAGGGACACCATGAATATGCGCTTGACACATTGTACCCTCGCTGGGAATCGAACCTGTGATTGGCGAACGCTTTAACCACTTGGCTACCCCCACCGACCTAATTATGTATTTGCAAGCGAAGCTATTTTGAGACTGAGTTCCACGTGATATTCAACACTTTCTGGTCCATTCCTTACAGAAAACGGAAGAGGACTATATTTGCAGAGGAACTATTACGAAAAATAATCTATGAAACGTTGGAACCTGTTTTTTCAAAACCGCTCGTTCATTGACAACAAATTGTTGTGCATGGTTGTTAATTAGTTCCCCCGGCGCGTTGGGGTTGTCCTTGGCGCTTATTACCTCCAATGCCGCATGTTTGTTTGTTTGTTTGTCTCTGTCCGTCCGTTTGTTCGCTTAATATTTCGAGTGCTGCTTGTATAATTGTCAAGTTTTGAGACTTTCGACTCGTTTGTTTGCTTTTCTCTGTCTGTCTGTCCTTTTGTTTAGAATTTGTAATTTACTAAGAAAATGTAATCCCAAATATAACATAGGTTACATTTGACCACTTTCTAAAATGGCATTGTGTAATCGTGTCCTTTTGTCGTTTGGTTTTTGTCTTTTGTTGTTGTTGTTTTTGTTTTTGTTTGTTTGTTTGGTTTGTTTGTTTGTTGTTATTGTTATTGTTATTGTTGTTATTGTTATTGTTGTTGTTGTTTGTTTTGGGTTGGGTTTTTTTTTTGTCGTTTCCTGTTTGTTATGTATTATATGTAATAATAGTATGAATTATATTAACACCCTTTCATAATGTATATTTGTCAACATTTGGACAAACTCTGTGGGAAACACCTGTATCTAGCTTGTGAATGAGTAGCTGGGTAAAAATACACCTTGCTTTAAAGCTTCCGATACATTTAGACACGTAAGTCTAACACTCCAGTTTGTTCTGAATAGCATTACCTATATCCACGATGTTGTGAATCAGGTACCTCGTGTGGTGACGTCACCGCGAAAGTTATAAAAAGCTCACAGTAACATGTGATCACACTTATCCAAGATGGCGGCGTTCTTGGCAGTTCCGTTGAAAAAGACCTATGATGTTGATCTTGTAAAACCTCTCAGAAGTTTCATTCAAAACACCTTTTCGTCTGCTGAACCCGACGACTACAACCATGCCCTCAGCGAGTTCAACAAACTTCGAAATTTGATGATAAATAAATCTGTAGACAAACACGAATCAGCGTTAGAAGTGCTGTACCGGTAAGTCATTTCTTGTTTGTCAAATGTATATTGTGAAATAGTTGACGATCAGCGTAAACTACAAGTGATATCTCCATATATCTTATGTTTGTAGAAATATCAAATACGCTGCCATTTTACGCCGACTGATATACAAAGTATTTCAGCGACATGTTCATTATTTCGTTATATTTATTTGAAACAGGCGGAAGTGACACGAAAATAAACAAACTCACTGTTGTTCAGTGTCATGTGATCTTTGTCAAAAGTTGACATTGAAAATACATATAAACAAATAATAAACATAGCACATTTTATATTAAGTTATAATAATGATTCCATAATAATAATGGATTAGTGATGTTACTAAGTTACTGGACCCATGAAGATCCGGGGTAGAATAGGTCTTCAGCAACCCATGCTTGCCACAAAAGGCGACTATGCTTGTCGTAAGAGGCGACTAACGGGATCGGGTGGTCAGTCTCGCTGACTTAGTTGGCACATATCATCGGTTCCCAATTGCGCAGATCGATGCTCATGCTGTTGATCACTGGATTGTCTGGTCCAGACTCGATTATTTACAGATCACCGCCATATAGCTGGAATATCGCTGAGTGTGGCGTAAACTAAACACACTCACTCACTACTAAGTTACTGGGTCATTTATGTAATGGAAATTTCAATGTAAACTTGTAGTACAGCATGTCTTATTTGATTCTGTGACATAGCTAAATATAATTGCGGCCCATAATTGCCATATTACTTACTTGTTCACACATAAGTAGAAATTTACTGTTCATAGTTCCTTGACAGTTGTTACTTAATTAGTAATATTGCCAACCTATCACATTGTTAACCAGACATTGATACTGGAAACATTAATAGTTTTCCACAATTTGGTGGTTTGAATGGTTTGGCAATTAACTCATAACAGTAATTTGTTAACCTGAAACATTTTTTGTCAAAAATGATGTGACAAACTGCCAGTTAACATTACCAACCATTTAACAAGCCCAAGGGATGCCTCAATATTAGGATTTAGAACAGAAGTTAGGCCCTTTTGTCTGGAGAATGCCAGGAACATGTTCTTGTTTCAAACCCACATTTGTTCACTGATGTTTCAAGGATTGTCAGGTGGTGAGGTAGCCTAGTGGTTAAAGCGTTCCCTTGCCGCTCCGAGGGCCGGGTTCGATTCCCCACATGGGCACAATGTGTGAATCCCATTTCTGGTGTCCTGCCATGATATTGCTGGAATATTGCTAAAAGCAGCGTAAAACTAAACTCACTCAAAGATTGTCAGCACATGCTCATTTTTTTTTTTTAAATGTGACCTGCATCACTTTGGGTTTTCCTCCTGTGTCAAGCTAACAGGATGCACTCACTAAATTGCAATAGTACTCCGAGACATGGTTATATCAAAGTCACTAGATCAACAGTAAATATGCCCTTAGTCTGGCGAGCTGCATCCCTGATCATAATAACTTTGTTAGTGATTAAAACATATCTGACTTACCATATGATACATGTGTGGATCAAATATTGCACCTGATTCACATGGCTGAATTCAAATAATATTGAATTAATAATTAATAAGTTTCGATGTCCTGAACATAGTTGTTAATTCGATTGAGTTATACTATATAGAAAAACTGTGAAGAACTACTATCATTATTCATACTAAATATACAGGATGTTGTACGGTTTAGTTTCACACATATACCACGGTATATGTTTTGACATTCTGACAACTCATCATTCTCAAATTTATTGTGTCTATTTGGATGATTTGACATTCTAATGTAATGCATTCATGTAAGATTCAAATACTACCATTCAACATATCAGTCATATTGATTTCTTGCCATTCCCTCTGTTGTATGCAGTAGTTTCCTGTACAGATAAGGTATTGTAGTGTCACAGGTCTAAGTCCCCCTCAACCTTGTATTGTTGATGTAGTAAATGACTCTTGGTTGAGTTTGAATATTGTGGAATGCGGACTAGGCTTCTGATCGGCGTTAAGGGGATGATTTTTATGGTCTGCTTTTGAGACAGAGTTCATTGACTATAGGTTGGATTTTGCCAAGAATCCATAAAGAGAAAAGTCAAATAGAAGATTTCAATCAACATCTGTTTGTAAATAAAAGTACTACTACAGATAGCAGATCGAAATGAAAAATGCTTCTTTACTAAACATATTAGAATATTACACAGTTCTCTCGTACATTATTACGTATTTTCATCTGCAGTCTGAGAAGCATCTTTCAGTAATACTAGGGCGTGGATACCCCATCTGGTCTAAGATACCACAGTTTCTGTGTACCTCAGGAATGATGTTGTGGCTTTTGAATCCCATATACACCTCAGCTATGTATTCTAGGCTTGTCAGCTCTTTACCAATGCTGTTTTTAACCAAAGTGGTTGTAGCTGGCCTCTGCATCACTTCAGGTTGTCTTCCAACATGAGGCTGTCATGTAGTTATACCATGACTTGAAATATTAATTGATTAAAAATGTACGTTGAACCTATCACTTAGTTGTTTACAATGGCAGTCGATGTGAACAAATGTGACTGACTGACTGACTGAGTTTAGTTTTACGCCGCTTTTAGCAATATTCCAGCAATATCACGGGCGTAGGGGACACCAGAAATGGGCTTAACACATTGTGCCCATGTAGGGGAATCGAACCCGGTCTTCGGCGTGACGAGCCAACGCTTTAACCACTAGGGCTACCCCACCGCCCCGAACAAATGTGAGACAACAGGGAAACTGTCAACGGTGATTAACAGTGTAATCTGAACCTTCTGCCTCATGATGTAGCCTTTAGTAAATAACCAATTACTTAAAAAAGGATAAACACTTATACATTGTGTTCCTCTATATTACACTACAGAAGCTGACATCCAATGGGCAAAATGTATGCTGGTCCTGTGGTCCTGGCTAATAAAAATTCAACTGGACCACTAAATAATAAGTTTGCAGTGGTCCTGGTGGCCAGTGAATTTTGTATTGATAGTTAAGCAAATCTACAAATTTTATTTTGGACCGGTGAAATACAGACAGGACCACTAATTATTGTCCACTCACTGGTCCTGTGGTCTAGTGGGATGAAATTTTGAAAGGTTTCTCTTCCCTGGACATCCATGATATTCCCACTTTATGTGTATCATTTTTAAAATGCCTTTCAAATATTTTTAAAAGAATTATTTATTTGATAATGAAGATGATTTCACAAGTGACTATGTCATAACTAAGAGCACCAGTTGCTTAATCTCACTTAAGACCATTTGGGTTTTCAATAAAAAAAATATATGTTCCTCCTGCTTCACTATAAGATACACTATAAGGCCAAACCAATTTTATTTCTTGTTTTACGGATCCGCCGGTTGTATTTTTTCAAAATAAGAAAAAAAATAAAAGTTAATTTTCCCCGCTCAAAAATAAAATCCTAATGTTTTATTGGTCAAATATGCAAATTTACAAGAAAAGGTTTGTTATAGCTTGTTTTGCCCCATATACACTACATAAATTGCCAAAAGTAAAATACTTTTAGTTTTTGTTTTTGTTTTTGTTGTTTTTCTCCTCCTGCCTTTTAGGTTTTCTGAGGACAATAATCCGTAAAACAAGAAATAAATTAATTGCTGGACCCTAGTCAAAAATGTGACTCATTACTAACCTTACTTTCCCTAGCTCAAGTGGAATTATATGACCTTGAATCAACAGTTTCATTGGATAGGTATGTGGAGAAGGTACTTGAATGCAGACAAGACAAAGGCTGTAGATCTGAGAATAAGTGTGATGAAGCATGTCAATGCATGTTGGGTCTTAGTTGGCCTTTGATAGGCCAAGAACAAAGAGAGACTGTGTTGTGACTTAGCAACGTATAGTATGGATTACAACTTCATGTGTACAACACGACAACTTCTAAATGCCCATCAAGCATCTGTGTTGTGTCTGTTTGGACTTGCTGTAGTCCACAGTGATGACCAGTTGGACATGAGTGAGTAGAGCTGTTGACCAGAGCACTGATAACTCCACCAGTGATTACCATTATGTTATTTAGTCTTCACGATGTCTGATTGACATCTTATTACCATAGTTGTTAAAACTACTTCTCAATAAACCATGATGTGAACTAGAGTGTTTGTTTCTGTATTGAAGTTCATTAATTAATTTCAAGATTGTCAGTAATTGAAAACGTTCATCTCACTCTCCTCACCTTGCAAATGTGACCAAGAAACTTTAAAAAACAATTATGCAGCCTGAGTGTAATTTGATGTTCTGTATCAATATAGCTTGTATCTGTCACTATATGAGATCATTAAATCAACGCCACACTATATTTATCTCAATGCCGTCTTTGACTTAATTCACAAGTCTGAAACCTGAGGGTTCAGTCGGGTAGCCTAGTGGTTAAAGCGTTCAATCGTCACACTGAAGACCCATTGAAGCCCATGGGCTGAGTCTAGTAAACTTCTGTTTGGTCTGGTGAGCTCAGGTGATATTAATCCTTATTACTCGCCCGTGGAAGATACTGCATTGTAATATTTTTCGACAATATTACATTAGTGTAATACCGCTAGACATATGACGTCATAATGTTTTACTTACAGTTATAATGATGTCACAATGCTAATACCTCTGTCACAATTGTATTAGACCTTGCTTGACTCGTGGAAAGCTGAGAGTCATCACACTTCGTAGGCAGTTTCTGTCAGTTTATGTTGGAGAGTAATAAACAGAATACTAAACTCGCTTCCGTGAAATACCATTTTTATTAAACTGTGAAAGATTTAGCATCAAACTCGCTTTCTCTCGTTTGATACCAAATCATTAACTCGTTTAATAAAAATGGTATTAAACGGAAGGTCGTTTAGTATCCTCTATATATAACATGCTAAATTCCACTGAAAATAATGCTTCTTGTCATATAAGGACTAGCAGACCCAAACTGTTTTCTATTGATTGCAGTGTCATAGATACTGTGACTTAGATACTGATCAGACTGTTGAGTCAGGCAGGCTCCTCTTCAGTGATTCTGATAATGAGACCTGCAGTTGTATTAGATACCATTGTTGATGATTTTTTCTGGATTGAATAGTATGCTTGGGTGATTGTAATATTAGTAAACTATGATAGATCTACCTTTCTAAAATCACAGGTTGATTTGTTTGAATTGCTATTTACAGATAAACATGTTCAATGTTATCATGATGGTGACAACTGTGATAGGTTTCTGCCTTTGATTAAATTATGTTGTTTGAACAATTTTAGACAATATACAATACATTTGTGAACACAATTGTGTCATGTTTATTTACTAGAGCCTCATTTCATGTTCATGAAGCTTGTGGTGTTCTTACTTATCATGTTAACTTGCATGCTGTTTATCAATAAGGTGAGTCCTTGTGTTGATGTAACCCTGATAAGATAAGATTATGTGTTTTGTTTGTCCCTTACATGATATCATGGTGTATATGTATCATACATGTCTGATTTATTTAACTCTTGTTGATACAGAGCAGCTCTGAGTATTAAGTACTAAGTGATCTAGACTAGAATACACATCATCCTCTTCTTCTGTGTACCCGTGAAGATCTGGGTTAGAATTGGTCTTCAGTAACCCATGCTTGTTGTAAGAGGCGACTAAGAGGATTGGGTGGTCAGGCACTCTGACCTGCTGACTTGGTTGACACATGCCACAATATGCCAGTTGCGTAGATCGATGCTCATGCTGTTGATCACTGGATTGTCGGGTCCAGACTAAATATTTACAAACCGCCACCATGTAGCTTGAATATCGCTGAGTGCAACGTAAAGCTAAACGCACTCACTTCTGTTACCTGACTGAATATGAGTTGAATTTTACTTAGACAATGTAGTAATAAATTACCATGGTTAAATGTTTTCGAAACTTGAGCGTGAAAGTTTTTGCTAGAATCTTCAAACACCATACCTCGTCTGTGCACCTCACTACACCACACTTTCTCAAATTTGTTGAAATGCAATCATGGTTCCTATCATGTTAAAGTCTAATGTAGACTATAAGCTGCTTTTACATGCACACATTTACTTACAGGAGTGTATGCAAGTAAATTGATCATGTAAAAGTCACAAAACGAATTTACTCACATAATTATTTATACTCCTTGAGTAAATTTACACCTGCTCCAGAGATAAAGTAAAAGAATATTTACTCCTGGAGTATTTTACTCCAAGAGCAAACTGATCTTGTAAATGACACTTTGATTTGATCCTGTAAGTATATTTTATGCGTCATATCTTATATGGACTATTATTTCATCATTATTATGTTTTATCAGTGTTTCATCAAAAGACATCATAAGTTTCATTGGAATTGATATGTTTTAGAAGTCAGTCTGACAGCAGTCTCATGTTTCAAAAATTCATTTAAAGTTTTTACGTTTTATATCAATTGTTCAAATTGTCCTTTTCTGCATCAATGATTATGTAATACACATTGTTCTGAACTAAAATAGAGCGATTAGTACTTTCTTCTACATGTAGTTTGTAACAGCCCTGGGGGGCGGTGGGGTAGCATAGTGGTTAAAGCGTTTGCTCGTCACTCCGAAAACCCAGGTTCGATTCCCCACATGGGTACAATGTGTGAAGCCCATTTCTGGTGTCCCCGCTGTGATATTGCTGGAATATTGCTAAAAGCGGCGTAAAACCAAACTCACTCACTCACTGTAACAGCCCTGTGAACTGTACAGTCTGCTTGTTTGAAAACAATTTGGCCTGTGCCATAGGAGGTTATGATGCAAAACCATCAAGTTTCATGCATAAAATATCGCACCTCAGTACGTAATAGTCGTTTATATGTCGCTCATGTCAGTGCTTTATGCATATTCAAAGCGCTATGTACATTACTATCCCTATCATTGGACTCCATTGTACCTTCCAATACTTTCTCAACTCCCTGGGGACCATACAGCCTCGCTGCCTGTTACTGTGTTAGGTGCTTAGAGAGCTAATGGCTCACATTGTCAGCCCATCCTCATTTTACAGCTAGGTGGGCTGAGACATTGTGGTCCTTGGTACCTTGTTCATGGATACCACACAAATGTTCCAGCCCAGATGACACACCAGGTATCTAACCCTGGTCTTTGGAGAGCAAGACAGATGCCTTATCCACTACACCATTGCATTGAAGATGTTACTGGGATAATGATAGCCGTAAAATAACAAGTACCACTGTAAAGATACAATAATAAAGGTGCCTTTACATGGTACGATCTATAGTAAAGGACTTTTAGCATGTGATCCGTCGTGAGAAATAGGGCATGTTCTAATTTTCGCAACACATCATAAGCAATTTCAAATCATTACGACAAGGGGGTTTACACGTTATGATATCGAATTGATTCAGGTCACTGCTACAAGTCCCTACTAATGAAGGTCCCAGTTCAGCAAATGTTTCTTTAGTGATTCGAACATTCTCTACCCACTGGTCATCATCAAAGGTGCCTTGCACACTGTCTGTCCACCAGGTTCTTGAACGGGTCTTTGTTAGACCTAGGACAAGTCCTCTAGTCCTCTAGATGTGTGGATGGTATGCAAATCAGATTTACTCCTATTGGTTAGATATCCCTGTGAACAGACAGTAAATGTAGTTTTACTCCTGTGAGTTAATTTTCTCCACAAGTAAATATACTTACAGGGAGTAATGTGTCAATGTAAAGAGACTTATTAGACTCTCTGTAGTCCCTAAATATACTTAGAGTGTATTTCCATACTTAACTTGGTTGGAGTATAGAAAGTTTGGGAACTGTTCTGATTGGTAGTTTCTCTTTTCAGGTACTATGACCAAGTTGCTACTATTGAGAGCAAGCTCCCTATCACAGAAAACCAGGTAATTTTATGGTGAACTGTAGCTAATGTATGTGAGTCATTTTATTCTTTCGAAAATTCATTGTTGTCATGTCAGGCATGCTACACTGTTAATATTCGGGAAATATGTGCATTGGAGTTGATATGGAATCAGTACATTAATTGACATCCCATGACAACGTTTCCAGTATGTTCACATTAGCCTCATTCTTTCTGATGCCTGTATGTTATTGTACATCTAAAGGCCAAGAATCATGTGAATTTTCTAATCAACCAATCCATAATTCAATACAATTCTGTGCTGTGGATTTGTAGCATACATTTGTCTTTTCCGGAGCAGAACTCTAAAACCGTTCAATATTTCTTCACCAAACTTGGCACATAGATGGATCTGGTGGTGTACTGGTGCCTTTTGGTAGTTTTGGAATTCTGAATTAAATATTTTTGGCGTTTCCATGGCAACAAGTTCGACTTTGACTGAAATTGGTGGTAGTGCTCTTTTCGGAGCAGAACTCTAAAACCGTTCAATATTTCTTCACCAAACTTGGCACATAGATAGATCTGGTGGTGTACTGGTGCCTTTTGGTAGTTTTGGAATTCTGAATAAAATATTTTGGCGTTTCCATGGCAACAAGTTCGACTTTGACTGAAATTGGTGGTAGTGCTCTTTTCCGGAGCAGAACTCTAAAACTGTTCAATATTTCTTCACCAAACTTGGCACATAGATAGATCTGGTGGTGTACTGGTGCCTTTTGGTAGTTTTGGAATTCTGAATAAAATATTTTTGGCGTTTCCATGGCAACAAGTTCGACTTTGACTGAAATTGGTGGTAGTGCTCTTTTCCGGAGCAGAACTCTAAAACTGTTCAATATTTCTTCACCAAACTTGGCACATAGATAGATCTGGTGGTGTACTGGTGCCTTTTGGTAGTTTTGGATTCTGAATAAAATATTTTTGGCGTTTCCATGGCAACAAGTTCGACTTTGACTGAAATTAGTGGTAGTGCTCTTTTCCGGAGCAGAACTCTAAAACCGTTCAATATTTCTTCACCAAACTTGGCACATAGATAGATCTGGTGGTGTACTGGTGCCTTTTGGTAGTTTTGGAATTCTGAATAAAATATTTTTGGCGTTTCCATGGCAACAAGTTCGACTTTGACTGAAATTGGTGGTAGTGCTCTTTTCAGACAGAACTCTAAAACCGTTCAATATTTCTTCACCAAACTTGGCACATAGATAGATCTGGTGGTGTACTGGTGCCTTTTGGTAGTTTTGGAATTCTGAATAAAATATTTTGGCGTTTCCATGGCAACAAGTTCGACTTTGACTGAAATTGGTGGTAGTGCTCTTTTCCGGAGCAGAACTCTAAAACCGTTCAATATTTCTTCACCAAACTTGGCACATAGATAGATCTGGTGGTGTACTGGTGCCTTTTGGTAGTTTTGGAATTCTGAATAAAATATTTTTGGCGTTTCCATGGCAACAAGTTCGACTTTGACTGAAATTAGTGGTAGTGCTCTTTTCCGGAGCAGAACTCTAAAACTGTTCAATATTTCTTCACCAAACTTGGCACATAGATAGATCTGGTGGTGTACTGGTGCCTTTTGGTAGTTTTGGAATTCTGAATAAAATATTTTTGGCGTTTCCATGGCAACAAGTTCGACTTTGACTGAAATTGGTGGTAGTGCTCTTTTCCGGAGCAGAACTCTAAAACTGTTCACTATTTCTTCACCAAACTTGGCACATAGATAGATCTGGTGGTGTACTGGTGCCTTTTGGTAGTTTTGGAATTCTGAATAAAATATTTTTGGCGTTTCCATGGCAACAAGTTCGACTTTGACTGAAATTAGTGGTAGTGCTCTTTTCCGGAGCAGAACTCTAAAACTGTTCAATATTTCTTCACCAAACTTGGCACATAGATAGATCTGGTGGTGTACTGGTGCCTTTTGGTAGTTTTGGAATTCTGAATAAAATATTTTTGGCGTTTCCATGGCAACAAGTTCGACTTTGACTGAAATTGGTGGTAGTGCTCTTTTCCGGAGCAGAACTCTAAAACCGTTCAATATTTCTTCACCAAACTTGGCACATAGATAGATCTGGTGGTGTACTGGTGCCTTTTGGTAGTTTTGGAATTCTGAATTAAATATTTTTGGCGTTTCCATGGCAACAAGTTCGACTTTGACTGAAATTGGTGGTAGTGCTCTTTTCCGGAGCAGAACTCTAAAACTGTTCAATATTTCTTCACCAAACTTGGCACATAGATAGATCTGGTGGTGTACTGGTGCCTTTTGGTAGTTTTGGAATTCTGAATAAAATATTTTTGGCGTTTCCATGGCAACAAGTTCGACTTTGACTGAAATTAGTGGTAGTGCTCTTTTCCGGAGCAGAACTCTAAAACCGTTCAATATTTCTTCACCAAACTTGGCACATAGATAGATCTGGTGGTGTACTGGTGCCTTTTGGTAGTTTTGGAATTCTGAATAAAATATTTTTGGCGTTTCCATGGCAACAAGTTCGACTTTGACTGAAATTGGTGGTAGTGCTCTTTTCCGGAGCAGAACTCTAAAACTGTTCAATATTTCTTCACCAAACTTGGCACATAGATAGATCTGGTGGTGTACTGGTGCCTTTTGGTAGTTTTGGAATTCTGAATAAAATATTTTTGGCGTTTCCATGGCAACAAGTTTGACTTAGCCTGAAATTGTGGTAGTGCTCTTTTCCGGAGCAGAACTCTAAAACCGTTCACTATTTCTTCACCAAACTTGGCACATAGATTGATCTGGTGGTGTACTGGTGCCTTTTGGTAGTTTTGGAATTCTGAATAAAATATTTTTGGCGTTTCCATGGCAACAAGTTTGACTTAGACTGAAATTGGTGGTAGTGCTCTTTTCCGGAGCATAACTCTAAAACCATTCACTATTTCTTCACCAAACTTGGCACATAGATAGATCTGGTGGTGTACTGGTGCCTTTTGGTAGTTTTGGAATTCTGAATAAAATATTTTTGTCATTTCCATGGCAACAAATTTGACTTAGACTGAAATTGGTGATAGTGCTCCTTTCTGAAGCAGAACTTTCAAAACCTTTCAATACTCTCCTTCCACTTTTCTATATACACACCTAAATATTTGACATAATCATAACTAGTAGACATAATCATGAAGAGTATTTTGCCATTGCGGGGGATATTGATGACTTTGTCTTCTTGTTTGTTTTGATTCCCCACATTACGGGGCAATGTGTGAAGCCCATATCTGGTGTCCCCCACCATGATATTGCTGGAATATTGCTAAAAGCGGCGTAAAAACATACTCACAATATTGCTGAAAGCAACATAAACTTAACTCACTCACTCTTCACATGGAGAAATATTAGATGAGAAGATCTTATATTAATGCGACTGACTTTTCCATTCTGTTCAAAGATATATGTGTTCCCGTTTATGACACTCTAGGGCTGTGCAATATAACCGGTTCAGACGTGAAAACGATACGTATTGCGATAGCTGATAGAAAACCGGTATTTTGACATGCATTCAGAAAACTTCGTAACACTCGGAAATCTTCGGATATTTCCTTGTTTCAATTGTACCAAATATTATTCACATTTTTTTTTTCATTTTTTGTTATTATTAAAAGGTTCTTTTAAAGCTTGATCAAGCATAGTGATTTTGTTGTGGTTTTGCTTTATAAATCAAGCATTAACTCGATTATTAGTAGTATTTTGTTTAAAAAAACAACTTCTTGCAATATATTGCAATATATCCTTTCGCATCGCAGTATGAAAATTCTCTGCAATACCCACCCCTGTGACACTCATTATCCCATGAATGTATGTGCACTTCAGATCCGTGTGCAGTTCAAATGGAGAGATGCCTTTGATGAAGGAGGCTTCCTGGCTGGGAAAAGAACACTTGGTAATATTTGAAGCTACAGGAATACCTGTTTAAACAGTTCAGGAAGTCAGCTGGAAACTTCAGCTCTGTCTTCCTGCATCAACATCACAAAAACATTATACACAGTGGTCTTCAGCACAGAAGTCAAGCTAAGTCCTTGGGTCTAAGCAGCATTACCCATATCTGTGTCCTCACCCCTGTGATATGGGACCCGTTAAGATGTGGGGTAGAATTGGTGTTTGATAACCAATGCTTGTCTTAAGAGGCGACTAAAGGGATAGGGTGGTCAGGCTCGCTGACTTGGTTCACACATGTCATCGGTTCCCAATTGTGTAGATCGATGCTCATACTGTTGATCACTGGATTGTCTGGTCCAGACTCAATTATTTACAGACCGCTGCAATTTGGCTCAAATATTGCTGAGTGCGACGTTAAACAACTAGCCAACTAACTTTGGGATATTGCTGGGATATTGCTAAAAGTGGCATTGAAAATACATGCCCAATCACTCACTCAATCGCTTATTCAGAAGTAGTATCACAGAAAAAGACCCAGGAACCCTCTTAATTTTCAACAAGTTACTCTATTCTAACCAGTTCTTTTGATGGGATGAATATTATTCAGCGTTTGTGTTGCTACATGTATGAATTACATCTGACGTATCATGTATTGAAATGTTCCAACATACTTTCCTTGTCTTCAGCTATTGCCTCTGGGTTGTATGAGAAGGTCTGCATGTTGTTCAACATTGCTGCTCTCCAAACACAAATTGCTTCAGTACAGAATCAGGACAGTGACGATGGACTTAAAACCTGTGCCAAACTATTTCAGGTAGGGCAAAGTTTTATATATGTGTCATAACACCATTTCTTGTTATTTATACTTGTCAGTTGACTTTGTTTGTTGCCTAACACCACACTCAGCATTTTTCCAAGTATATGACAGTGATCTGTAAATAATGAAATCTGGACCTGATAATCCAATGAGTGATAGCATGAGCAGCACTGAGCCATCAGTGTCTACGCAGTTGGGATAAAATGACATGCATCAACCAAGTCAGCAAACCTGATCAACCAATCCTCTTAGCCTCTTACAACAAGGCATGAGGTACTGATGACTGAATGGATCACAAGCTTGATGGTGTGGTTTATTGTGTTTCATAAACGAACAGCAAGGGATGTTGCTCATGCTATTAATCAGTGTCTGGTCCAGAGTGATAAAATGCAAATCCCCATCATAAAGATATTTTCCCACTGATGTGATATGCTTTGATAAACGAGGGGTAAGTAATAAAGAATGATGTATTTGGTGCCATCGCTGTGACAAGAGGGACTGCTGAGTAGCCCATTGGAGCATTCGCTCATTACGCCAAAGACCAGGGTTCGATTCCCCACATGGGTACAACGTGTGAAGCCCATTTCTGGTGTCCCCTGCCATGATGTTGCTGGAATATTGCTAAAAGTGGCGTAAAACCTCACTCATTCACTCACTCACTCACTCACTCACTCACTCACTCACTCACTCACTCACTCACTCACTCACTCACTCACTCACTCACTCACTCACTTGAGATACAAGGAGTTCAGAATTTCACACTGAAACTAGCATTATGTTGTGTGTATGGGAATAACATGAATGTTACTGTATCCTATTAATGGCATCACATTTCCTTGCAGCAATCAAGTGGAATATTTGCCCACATGAAGGACATTGTGTTGTCACATGTGCAGCAAGACCCGACCCCTGACCTTAACCCCGACACTCTGGGAGCACTCAGTGCTCTCATGTTAGCCAAGGCTCAAGAGGCTATATACAGGAAAGCTACATCAGGTATGTTGGATGTGCAGAGAGTGTGCAATATTAAATCTGAAAGGGTCTTTTTCAGCATAGCCTACAGATATATATATACCCCAGGTACATTTCTGTATCCGGAAACATACCCTAAACGAAGTCAAATTACATAAACGTAGCTGGTACCCTTAACGGCAGATAAGTCCATGTTCCTCAACTCAAAACCAAAGCCAGTTCAGATTATAGTTCCTTTCATTTGACAGTTATTGTCACTCACCTCCTTTTGCAGTTATTGTCAGACTGACCTCCCTTAGACAGTTATTGTCACTCACCTCCTTTTGCAGTTATTGTCAGACTGACCTCCCTTAGACAGTTATTGTCACTCACCTGCCTTTTGTAGTTATTGTCAGACTTACCTCCCTTTGACAGTTATTGTCACTCACCTGCCTTTAGATTGTCAGACGTACCTCCCTTAAACAGCTATTGTCACTCACCTGCCTTTTGCAGTTATTGTCAGACGTACCTCCCTTAGACAGTTATTGTGACTCACCTGCATTTTGCAGTTATTGTCAGACTGACCTCCCTTAGACAGTTATTGTCACTCACCTGCCTATTGCAGTTATTGTCAGACTTACCTCCCTTAGACAGTTATTGTCACTCACCTGCCTTTTGCAGTTATTGTCAGAGTGACCTCCCTTAGACAGTTATTGTCACTCACCTGCCTTTTGCAGTTATTGTCAGACTTACCCCCTCAGAGTTATTGTCACTCACCTGCCTATTGCAGTTGTTGTCAGACTGATATCCCTTAAACAGTTATTGTCAGACTTCCCTGCCTTTCGCAGTTGTCAAACTGACCTCTCTTTGAGTACAAAATGCCATTTAGAAAATGGAGGGTGAATTTTGCTAAATGAGAATGCAGAAAGATTAAGAAGTGATTGAAAAAAAAGAAGTAATTACAACCGGATGTGTGTCATTCTGATTTTACCAAAACTTGTGTAAGATTGTATATTAGTACGTGCAAAGTCACTCCACAAAACATTTCAGAAATAGGTTGGAGGCATTCTGTTTTACCTATTGCATGTTGCAGTCAAACTGTTTAGTGTAACTACATCGTGTATTTCGAACAATATTCAGGCATGACATATCTATCAATGTTGATAACCATGCAGCACAAAACACATGCATGAATTAGTACTGAGTTAACATTTGTATTTAGGAGTGGATCCAGTGTGTAGTGATGAAGCAGGCAGCCTTCCATGGCATGGCAGAGTTCTACCAGAGCAATGTGGCCAAAGCAAACAAGAGCTATGGAGAACAAATTGCCAGGCTAAAGATATGTGCATTTCATTCTTCTCAAATCTTTTAAGTTGATGACCAGTCACCTTTCCCTTGTTGACACCAATTGTCTGTAAGCCAGAGTTTTCTAGTCATGGAAATAATGGCACTCTATGTCTGACAGCCAGAGTGTGTTCCAGTGGTGGATATGAAGTATGAGAGTCAAGGGGTGCTTGCCAGAACTCCAATATTAAAACTTAAACATTTTGGGGGTCCCTAAATTTAAACACAATAGCATAAGATCCCTAGAATTCCCTGACCCACATTCATTTTGAACACTTGCAACAAATCCATATTAATTAGTGCTGGAGCGAGTAATCAAGTAATTGGTTAGTATATCAAGCTCACTTGTGTCAGCAATTATGGATGGCCTCAGAATACTAATCAATGCTAATAAAAAAGAAACGTCAAATTCAACTTTAGAGAGTATGTTTCTTATTGTTAGGTTTGTTAAATCAAGACATAAATAACTGATGCAGTTTCCTGACTCGTAAAACTGCAGTATCTTCTTGGTATCTTCCAGTGATAGTGTATAGGCTGCAGTAACAATAAAAACAATAGTAGCATTGCTGGTTAATGGCAGTACGTCCTATTCTGAAATGACACATTAAGATAATAAGGAATCTGTCAACGCAGCTTCATCTTCATCCTCCTTTTCATCCTCATCATCACCTTCATCATCATCCTCTTCATCTTCATCCTCACCCTTATGTTCATCCTCAACCTCACCTTTATCTTAATAATCCTCATCCTCACCCTTACACCATCATCATCACTTTTCACCTCGTCCTCATCCTTCTCATCCTCATCTTCATCTTCATCCTCACCCTTATCTTCATCATCTACATCCTCATCTTCACCCTTTCCTTCATCATCTTCTTACTCATCCTCTCCCTTATCTTCATCCTCATGTTTCTTCTCACCCTTATCTTCATCTGATTCTCCAGTACACTCTGATGGCTCTTTCTTCCATTACAGCATGCCCAAGAGCTGTTGAATGCTGCTCAGACTCGCGGCGGCCAGACGTTCTGCTTCAGAAATGAGCAGGGGAAGGTGCAGCGGGAAATGGAGGAGGCAGTGAAGGACAACAACTTCATCTACCATGACAAAGTGCCCGACATGAAGACTCTCCCTATCATTGGCAAGGCTGCTGTGGCCAAACCCTCACCTGTTGCACAGAGATTCTCCACCAACTTCACAGGTAGTTTAATAACATAGTTTATGACAGTGTGTGTAGTGCTGTGTTTGCAAATGAGTTATTCAGACAGTGTATCTAGGTTTTCAAAACTGTTAACCTTGCTCTTGACGTCCAATTAGAACAGTTCTGTTCTGACACATTATATCATGTTCCTGTTAGGATTCTACATAAGAACTGTCCCCAGAAACTTGTGCTTGTTGCGAGAGGATCAGATGCAAGGGGAGGCCAGACTGTGTAGATTGTGTGTTAGATAGCCAGATAGAGGGTTCATGGCTTACAGTTTCAATGACAAGATTGTCCAGTCCGACTCAACTATTTATTGGCTGCTGTCCTGTAGATGGAATACTGCTGCAGCATCATTAAACAGATCATTATTTCCTGTGTGCTCTGTTGTAGATTCCTTTCCTCAACTTGATCATTTGTTTAGTATGTAATCATTGAGACGGGTAAGACTTAAATAACAAATAAGCCTGCTAGTTTCATGAATCCAGTATACGTTGTAATAAGTCCTAAATTTAGGAATGGGTGATGTCTATTGTCTATAAATTGTATTCAGTTTTATTAAAATATGTTAGTTAAGTGAAATTATCCATTTGACTAAAATAGAATTATCATTAATTGATTGTATGTTATGGTTGTTAATATGATTTTTCTTCGAAGTTAATTCCTTGAGTCATAAAGGCCGCTGAGGACAGCCCTTCTATGTTTGTGTGGTTGTAAGTATTTATGAGTTATGTTGTATTATTTTGTATTGCAGACCTCTTTGAGAAATTAGTGCCTTTAGCTGTACATGATGCCATGACAGCATTTGAGAACAGAAAGGCCCAGATTGTCAACATGGAGATAGGGAGGTTGCGAGAAGCTACAAATCTCATGAATGGGTATGTTTCACTTGTATGATACCTTATGATGTACTCATTTTACGAATGACACAAGATGTAAATATAATCACCTGTGAATCTCTTTGAAACGATTTATCATTCATGCCAGTTCACTTAAGTCTAAGTTTGGTCTAATATATGCCAGAAACTTTTGGATTTTAACCTGCTCACTTTGTAATTTAGATTTAGTTTCATCTGCTCACATGTTGGTTTCACTCAAGTCAACATCTGAAACCTGGATCACATCAAGTGTTTTTTCCCCCCCCCCCCCCTTGCCTAACTGGGGTTGAAATTTCAGGGCTCAATCATAGTGCCACCAGTGGTTTTTACAAGTTATGTCCCTTCTCTGTCGATGGAACTGACTAAACATATTCCACCTCTCAGATTACTTGCATTTGCCACAAGCAAAAAGGCAGCATCATTTGAAGATTACCTGATCTGTATTCAAGATGTTTAACAGGTCTTACCCCATGAAGTGTCTCCCTTGAGCATCTTGATTGAAACATGAAAAGATTCCCGCTTCACATTGCATGCTCTGAAAATCTTGCAATCGACCAAAACAATCGACATTTTGTTCATGAACCGAATGTTGATTTCATTACACAATTTCATTTGTACTATGCATAGACTCATTAGTCCAGCCAAAATATAACTCCATAATTCCTTACCTGGCTTGGCAAGGGTGGAACTGGACTTTTCCAGTCAGTTAGCTCCCTTGCCTCATCAAGATGAAGTCACTCATACCAGTTCATCTCTTGATGTATTAGCTTTAGGGTTCAAAAGAATCTTCCATCGCCCGACGCCCGTAAGAGACAACGGGATCAACTGTTTCATTTCGGGCAATCAAATAATGGTATCACTGGATTGTCTTGTCCGTGGACCGCTACTAGATAATTTCCACTTATGGTTTCAAACTGGCAAATAAACTTTGATTTAATTTCATATCTGCTCAAAATGTAGCTATTAAATTTCGCAATGATAATAAAGTAGAGTTATCTTTCTTTGCTATTTATCACTTTTCAATAAATAGTCCAGTAAACATTAACATCAAATACCATGTTGATTTCTTCTTTCATAATTACATCATCATAATTATGTCATAAAATCAGGGCAAGTGGAAAATTAGTCAGGACAAGTTACTTTCTTAAAGTCACTTGCCCTGTGGCAAGTGGCTTTTAAAAATATTTGAACCCTGGTGGCATAAAACTCAGTCAACTTGGACACAGTAGTTCACTCTACAGAGTTGCCTCCCATTGGTCTGCCTGTGATCATCAGTTCAGATTCTTAAATCATTATAACCAAACTCGCTCACAAATGATTTTGTGTTTTCAGACTATAGCTGAGTTGGACAGTGAGGAAAAGTCTGACACTCAGCTTCGAGAACAGTTCAAAGAAAAGTGGACTCGAACAAACTCTATGTCCAACTGACAAAACCTATGCGAGAAGAGGCCACAAAGTACAGCACTTTACTGTCCACAGCCACCCAGGCAGATGCTGTTGTCCGGGACAAGTTTGACAAACACAAGGAAGGCATCGTGTTGCTTTCAAAGCCTCTGGTAAGAGACTAGTCTACATTCCTTATGATAACACTAGGGTTTTGTCCCAGTTGCTACAGATAAACGTGTCTATTCAATTTTTGAAAGGAACAATTTACAATAGGACAGTGGCCCTACAGTGATTTTATTGAGAACACTGATGGTATTTACAGGGATGTGGTTATGTTCCTAGCTAAGCAGGGTCATTTGCCGACCCCGTTCATCTCTTCTGTTTGGTAGAGTAAGTCTTAAATTTTTTAACTTATCCTATCTCACGGTATGCACTTCTCTCTCTTGATTCGACACTGAGTGGAACGATGTAAACTTTTTTCCTTGGCCTCTCTTGATCATTCGCCCAAGCACTCCTCCCTCATTATAAGATCATCCTCCTAGTTGTCATGCAAAGCATGCTCCACTGCTACCCTCTACTATCTCCAAATCATCATTCTCTTTCTTGTCGCACTTGCATGTGAACATTATTTTACTTTGCTCAACATTTTCAACTTAGTCTACAACATGGGGAAAGCCGACCAGACCCAAAAAAGGAAAAAGTGCTCCCGGTGTAATAAAGTGTTCTCCGCAGTGTTCCACATGCGTATTGTATTGACTGTATGGCACAGTGTAAATGGGACTCTCGTTGCGATAAGTGCAAGGATCTTACCTTTGAACGGACCCAGTCCCATTTTGTCTGAAGTGTAGGATTCATGAGAGCATCGTCAGATTCTTACTTACCCCTCAGGATACTTCTGCAAAGCAGGACCTTCAAACTTGCCTCTGTCTCTGTCTCGCGTTCTCCAGACCAGTTATCTCGGCAACCTGGCTTATCTGTTTCGGACAAGAATCAGATGATTCTGGCTGACTACGCAGAAAGCATGCCAGAGGCCGTTCTCGGCTCTTGTCATTCATCCAGTAGTGAGAGGAACCAGTCTACCTCGCGCTTAATGCCTGTCAGTGGTTACTTCACCGCCTCCTTCCCATTCTTCCCATTAGACTGGCTCTCTGAAACAGCCTTTGCCAAACCGGTCTTCATCGAAAAACACCGGTCCAAGCTTCAGCATTCTCCAGATCGATCGTCTGCTAAACAGCCTTCACCTAATCGTGCTTCTTCGAAACAACGTCTCGCCCGACGGAAGACCTCACCGAGACAGCATGTGGTGAATCGACTTTCGCGAAATGGCCTTCTTCCAAGCGGTATTCAGCGGAATGCCTCTCTCTAGATCATCTGAGTACTTCCCGAACTCTGTTGGATCTTACAGTCACGTCTCCCTCAGCATGAACGCATCTTTCACGAAAGTAGTCTGGATCAGTCTCACATTATTATTCGGTTTTGTCTACTTCACCGCCGAGATGCCACTCTTCTATGCACAACGCACACGCCTCCTTCTGCTTCATTAAAATAGGTTCTTCGTTCCTCGGACTTCGTCTTCTCATCATCATGGGACTTCCGGTTCTGCGCACTCGACCCGTCAACCTAGATCTCCTACACGGTTGACTGCTGCCTATCGTTCAAGATCCAGGGATCGTCATTATCGTTGCAATATCTCCCTCCTCAATCTCATTCTCCTCAGCGGTCTCCATTTGTGCATCCTCTTCCGGTAAGTCCCCTCCAGACATAGATATGGTTCTACTGATCGTCGATCTAATGAACGGGGTTCCGAAGCTCCGATCTCAGCGCTGCCGACCTCTCTTCACGGGACTCCTGCCTCTTCGTGTCTCTCTACTCGGATTGTACCAGATTCCTGGACTCCAGCGCAGGAAACCATTCCTCCCCCAGATCTGGCTGCGATGTTAAGTGCTCTTACTACTGCTTGGAATCAACAACAGGCTGCTCACTCTCGGGGAATGCTCCTCCCTCAGACCACCTGTTACGGGGCGCCCTGAGTCCTGGTGTTCCACTTAAGTTAGAGTTTTGACTCAAATTTGAGAAAACGCAGGGAAATGCATTTCCCAGAATGAACTGAAATCGATATTAAACTCAAACATAGTAGACAATTAGAGTTTGGTAGATCTTAAGTTTGTTTCCAGAAATCGGGGCCTGGTGTTCCACCTGATCCTGCGTCTCCAGCACATTCGGTTGTGGATTCCCCAGAGGAAAGTTTGGACTTTGTCGATGAACCTCAAGGTTTAGCTTGGATAGTTGAGAAACTCCACCTCCCTATGTCACAGAACCCGGAGGATGTAACTGATTCCTTCTCCATGAGACAACGAGACTTGACGTCTATTACCTTCCCACCACAGCCTTGTATTGCTCATCTAACTACGTCCTTGGATCATGCCTTTAAAAGCTTTAAAAGGATTATTAATTTAAGGATGGCCTGTCTTAGCCTTCTAGATTTTCCCTACCAGCCGCTCACTACTATGGTTTCCAGTCCTTGGCTACTACCCTTCGGGTGGATGAGGATGTCCAAACACTTTGCGGGAAGAGAACTTGTTCAGCCTTTCTAGTTCAGGACAGAGAACAGTCTCACCTGGACACAGCTATTCATCGCCTCCTTACCCTCAATCAGTTGCATCATTTCGGCAGTGGACGCCGTTTCGCGGCATCAGTGGAGCACTCTTTCCCTGATCAGGATGCTTACATCAGGGGCTATATGTCCCTTATACTGGACCAATTTCAGATCATACTTGACCAGCTGTCTCATTTCCTTGGTTATCTCCTGGCAGTTGGCCCGCTCAATTTGTCTTCATGGGATAACAGGTTTAAGGCTGAACTCTTCCGTCAACCGTGGTCTGCAGAATTTTGTTTAATGGCATGATTGGGGAAGTTTCAGCAAAGGTGGATCGGGACTCAATTTTTACAGTTTCGTGGAATTACTGAAACTCCAGAAATCTCATCTGCAAGTTTCCATGATACAGAGAAGGCCTCCACGGTTTATGCCCGTCTCATCGAGAAACTGCGTCATGGTTTTCTTGACAGTGCATCCGTACATCGCAGCTACCGGGCGGACCAGTTCCATCTTCACTCCACCATAGGTGCGGCTCATAGAAATGTGCAGTCCAGTCTCTGCGGTCAGGCGCCCAGCACTCCAGGATTCTATTCCCCATCTTTCTGGTTCCCAAGAAAAACTCCACAAAACTAAGACTCATTTTCAACATGAAACTTTTCAATGCCCACTATCACCAGCGCCCTCCTCACTTCCGGATGGTATCGATCATCCTTCTTCGCACTTTCATCCTGAAGAAAGGGGATATTCTTGTCAGCCTACGATGCTTGTCCATGTGCCTATTCATCCGGATTCTTCCTCCGATTCGTATTCCAGGATCCTTACAATGGACTGTCCTTCCTTTTGAATTTCCACACGCCCAGGCTTTTACAGGATCACTAAGCCCGATCACCAGGTTTCTTCATCTCCACGGGTCGTGTTCGAAAAGTTACATAGACGACTGCATTCAGGCACAGAGAGACCCTGTCGTTCTTCTACGTCAGTTGGAGTTCAGTATGAAGCTTCTCCAGCAACTAGGTTGGTTGTTAAACGCTGCGAAGTCGGAACTAACACCGACCCAGACCCTTCAATTCATCGGGGCAACTTTCGACACGCACCAGGGCCTGATTTTCGTCCCCCAAGACAGATGGCTGAAAATTCAACTGTTAGTTCCGTTAGCACTGTCACAGGCCAGGACCTTACGACAGTGGCAGGAACTTTTGGGCCTCTTGACATCGGCACAGGCTTTGACACAGGGCGGGGACAATTGCAACTGCATCCATTGCAGCGTTTCCTGCGTCTGTATCTCGTCCTCAGAGAATCTCAGATTCGTCTTACTGAACCCTTACATCCTTTTCTTCAGTGGTGGCTTGTACAACAGAACGTTTGCGCCGGAGTTTGTTTGATGCCGTTCATTCCAACGCACACCACTTGTTCGATCGACACGCACTCAAAGGTCAAAGGTTGGGGGCTCACTTTCTTCACCATCAGACAGGCGGGTTGTGGTCATCCGCCAGAACGGATTTGTACATCAACTCAAGTTCATGGCGGTTCTTCTTGCCATTCGACATTTCGCGGACAGAACTTCGGGGTCCTCCTGCTGATTCAGACAGACAACTCCACAGTCTTCTGGTACATCAACCATCTCAGGATCTGACAGGTTCGGGCGAACCTTCTTCAGTTGGTGTTTCAGTTCTTCCATCTGAGCGACTCCCTTTCGCCATAGATGCTCGAGCCAGACACATTCCCAGAGTCAGGAATGTAATCGCAGATGCGCTGTCCCTAACGATCAGCCGCTCTCCCACGGAGTGGCAATTGAACCACAGATCTTTCGGGAACTGGTCTTCACATTATCAAGGTCCCAAGTCAACCTATTCGCCACGCGGTTCAACCATCAGCTCCCGCAGTTTGTCTCACGATACCAGACCAACTAGCATGGGATCTCAATGCTCTGGCGATTTCGTGGGAGGTGCTCAACGCTACGCCTTTTCCCCTCGGCTCTTCTACCCAGAGTCATCCAGAAACTCCGGCGACCAGGCAGATTCTACTGCGTTTGGTCGCGCCTTACCGTCCAGTCAGGAGTTGGTTTGTCGATCTCGCACAGCTTGCAGACCTAAACCCAGTTCCTCTTCCCGATCGGGACGACCTACTGTTACCCCCTCACTCGGATCGGCGTCATGTATCCCTTCGCACCCTGTCTCTGCACGTTTGGCGCATCTACAGAAGTCCTTAATCGCCAAGGTGTATTCTTGGAGAGTGGCTATGGCCATCACTTCTGCTCATCGGACTTCCACCCGCTAACTTTATGATGAGAAGTGGAAGTGTTTTGAGGGATATTGCACGTCCAGTGGCATCTCTCATTTCTACCCTCAAATCGTCATTGAATTTCTTCAGCATTTGCAGTCATCTAAGAAGCTCAAGAGTTCCACTTTGACCACTTACCTTGCTGCTATCAACTCGGTCCTGGCTACCACCACAGGCTCTTCAGTATTTGTTCCTGTCTTTCAAGTTGACCCATCAGTCTAAGAAGTTTAGACCTCCTGCATGGGATTTATCTGTGGTGCTGCGTCATTTGGCCTTGGCGAACTATGAACCCTTAGCTCAGAAGGACTTTGAGAAGATCTCCTTCAAGACCTTTTTCCTTGTGGCCTTGGTTACAGCTGCTCGGATTTCTGAACTCCACGCTTTGGACGTTAACAGAGAAGCATGGCAAAGTCTTCCTCGGTCGCCGTTAGGATTTCGTAGTGAAGAATCAGTTGCCGGGACAACCCGATCGTACTTTTACCATCCCACCATTGTCCACGATCCTAGGGCCGACTGACAATGAAGACCTGCAGCTTTGCCCTGTTAGGGCTTTAAAGACTTTTTGCTGCTTCTAAAGATCGCGCCCGTCTCTGCAAGCCTCTTCATTCCGTTGTCCAGGGCGGAAGTGTCTCCGCACCACATTTCCTCACATTTCACGCTTCCTGACCTCTACTTTTCGGAAGCAATTACGCCAGTGAAGTGTGTCACTCCTGCGAATTCCAGTGGATTTCATTGCGTTCCGACTCAGAGGTTGCCAGGCTCATCCTTTGACTAAGCTTATGTAAAGGAGTGAGGGTCAATTTGATGTTGACTGGGACTGAACGTTAAAACTGGGGGTTTTCCGAGTTGTGCTTCTCTTTCACCCGCCCTGGTCGGTGTCTGTGGGGAGCCTTCCGCGAATCAGGGGCTGGCCCGATTATTGTCTATGTACGGGGTACCTTGAAAATCGTGGCGAAGTGACATCCTTTATCGCTGTGCTGCGTCCATCTTCGGTGGTTGCGGCCGAACACCACATCGCTCGGGAGCACCCATCTCCCTGGGAGACGTTGTGCTTAGTAAGCCAAGGAGTTCAGAGGAACTCGTCACAAGCATAGGAGTTGCACTAGTCGTAACAGGCCTCCCTTGGCGCATCGCTATCTATGGTTGTTTCCAGTCTACACAGTTCTACTGTTAACACTGACAAGACACAGGGTATCTGCGTCCCGCCATCCGACCGTGGGATACCATGAGATTGGATAGGATAAGTTTAAAAATTTAAATATAAATTGTATATTTATATACTTATCCTATCTCACACGACGGATTCCCGCCCATCCTCCCCGCTACGCAGATTCTCCAAGATTGATATTCCAGTGGCTCCAAGAATGAGAATGATGATTCGGAGATAGTCACGTGGGTAGCTAGTGGTGCATGCCGCATGCTTTGCATGACAACTAGGAAGCCGTCTTAAAATGGGCGGATGGACAAGAGAGGCCAAGGGAAAAAAGTTTACATCGTTCCACTCAGTGTCGAATCAAGAGAGAGAAGTGCATACCGTGAGATAGGATAAGTATATAAATATACAATTTCTATTTAAAATTTCCAATATCAAAAAGTATTTTTCTCCCTATAAACATTGGGTCTAAACCTGGTCTTCATCAATTCATGCTTGTCGTAAGAGACTAATTGGGATCGTGGAGGTCAGGCTTGCTGATTTGGTTGATGCGTGATCATGATGTCAATCACCTGCTTGACTTTTCCAGTCTTGATTTTTCAAAAACCACCGTCAAGTAGCTGAAATATTGCTGCTTGGTCATTCAGTATCAAGGGCCGCCATATAGCTGGAAATATTGCTGCTTGGTCATTCAGTATCAAGGGCCGCCATATAGCTGGAATATTGCTGCTTGGTCATTAAACAACAAACCAAACAAATCAGTGTCAAAGGAACACAAAAAACTGATATTTTTTGCAATAACTGACTCGATGATGATGATTATGATGATGATGATGATGATGCAGGCAGAGCTTGAGGCCTCCCTCCCAGCAGGCAGTGGTGGCAGTGGCTTACAAACCAGCCCTCCGGTGAAGGAGCTACGGTCACTCATGCAGCAGGTGGAGACAATCAAAGCTGAGAGAGAAGCCATTGAAAGCAGCATCAAGGATGCCAGCTTTGACATAGGTGAGGATGGGAGCCATCGTGACACTGCATTATGTATACTCATTCATTCGACCAAACTTTGTTACTTCCCTTGGTAATGCCTGGATCTAATGATAGCATGTTCAAATTTGTTCATATTTGAGATTTGCGATGATTTTGATTCTTGGTTTGTCAGAACTTTATCTGTGCTAAAGCTGAAATACTTTAAAGAAAACTCACTCTGTCAGTGTTGCTAATTCTAAGGCAAAGTTTGTCTTATATGAATGATTACCATGAATATGCATGATTGTTTACTGGGATGAGTTTTCACTTGTTTCATAAAAAATTGTTTGGAAAACAACTGTGAAATGCTCTGATTGAATTGAAACACAGTCATTGAACGTGACTCCTTGACAAGCTGAACTAGGGAGAGATAACTTCTTTATTACAATTAAGTTTTTTATGTAGATGCTAACAAAATTATCAAGAATTTGATGTAAATCTGCAAAAACAGGAGATTCCCTGACTGTTCAGTGGTTGTTTCACGTTAAACCTGTTTTAAAATGGATACCTCGAAGCTCATGTGGACAGTGAAATGTGATTAAGACATTAATTGGATGTGATTGTATGATCTACCTTGGATAGTACATGTAGTGTGATGTCTTTTCAATAGTGTCGTCCTTCATGTCGGCCCTGGCTAGTGATGGTCTGGTGAATGAAGAGAATATCTCAGTAGCGGAACTTGACCGTGTGTACGGCCCACTGCGGGAACAGGTGTCAGACAGCATCCACAGACAGGAGAACCTGCAGGCCAGGATACAGGTACCACAGCAGTAGAAATGCATCTGACTTCACACTGACTTGTCAGTCTACAAGGGACTAGAGGAGACCTAATTTCAGTTGTCTTCCGTGTCTGTAGTTAGCCATGCTTGAATGACACAAAACTGGTTACTGTTCATCAGCTTTATTCAACAGTTTGTAGCAATTGAAGCATTGAGAACTAGTTTATAGCCCTCTTATAATGTTTTAGGTCAGCACTGAAGTACTACTCCAATGACGAAGGTACCCTGTATTTTATATTCTATAGAGGACATGGAAAGAAATTATGTTGCAACTGTCGTCCACAATTACATAGTGTTGAAGGTAATGACTGCCATGTGTCAGACAGTATATCGTCTTGACATAACCTGTGTTTGACTTCCAGAACGCCAACACAGACTTCAGCAATGCCCGGTCCTCCAACCAGTCAGCTACTGCCAGGGAAGCCAAACTGAAGGAGCTCCAGGCTGCATACAACATAAACACTGAACTCAAGGGTAACCTGGAGGAGGGAACAAAGGTGGGTGTGTCGGCAGGGCGCACTCAGTCATGTTTCATCGAGGTCAACACGGCATAGAGCTATCACGTGATCAGGAATAAATCGAATCCGAGCACAGATGGTATTGGTAACAAAGACCAACTCGGATTTGGTTGTAAAATGTATGGGGAAGTTATTGATGCATTTGTCGCAGCTGACTATGAAATAAATATACGTGATGTAATAGGCGTCTAAATACCGGCCTTTGCGAGACGTGATTTCGTAAACACTATCCAATAAGGCGGAAAGCGCACCTCGGCGTTCGTGTAAGTATATTTTCGAAAACATCCAAACCGATTCTAGGTTCATCGGCAGCGTTTCAGATTATCATTAGTGATATCATGAAAAAATGATTTCAGTTATCATTAATATGTTATTTTTTTGAAATTCAGTACTCAAAGTAATTATCCGATTTTCACATTTGAAAACATACTGTCTACACTCGTACAGCAAATAATGCTGTGAATCGTGATTTTGTATTGTGTATAAAATGGCGACATTTACGATGAAGCCTATTTTGAAAGGTTATTTAAGCACTTTAGCTGTGTCTTTTAGCTTTACTGTGAAGTATATGTGTGTGCCTGATATATTTAGAATTTTATTGGACTTCAAAGTGAGGGTTGAAGAGGAAGGACATATATGTCCCTGTGGCACCCAGGGGTTTTTAATCTAGTCCAGATACACGGCCAGAGCACTAGCGGTGTCGCGGAGTATTCTTAACACACTAGCTCGGGATACTCCATGGAGATCCCTGATTTCACTGAGGAAAATCCCTTTTGCCAAATACCTCTGTGTACACAACACTTGCAGGGAGGTCGGAATAGCATGTGAACGCCTTGTTCAGTTGAGGCTCTAACTTTCTGCACAGTTAGAAAACAACATGAGTGTCGAGCACGTTCGACCTGTCTCCAAAATTTCTCAGGTCTTCTTTGTTAGCGCGTTTTAATCACTTTGCAGTGCCATAATCGTTGACGCCATCTTTGTAGTGTTTACGACCTCCTAAAGCATTTACGACAGGTCAATCCGGGGTCCTAAATTTTGGGCTGTTTACGACACAGTGTAAATATACGAGGTCTTTGTGAAACAGGGTAAAAAAGAAGAAGTGGTCTACGACCTGCTTTACGAGGTCGTATCGGTAAGAGGGCTTTGTGAAACGGGCTCCTGGAGACCACAGCCACGGACCAGTACACAACGAAGTCAAGGCAAATCAAATCTCAAATAGATTGTAACAAAATGAGGAATATTTTTTTAAAAAATTAAGAAATATTCCTAACGTTATGTTAAAGGTCACATGCAACGTAAAACTCAACTTTGCAGATTCTGATACCTTTCGGTATGGACTTACCGAAACAAATCATCAAAAATGAAAATTTAACATATAAAGTTGAAAAATAACGTGATGAAAAAAAACGCGCGAAGTCGGAGTTCAAAAGATTCACTAATTTTCCATAAAGAGCTTGGGGGAAAAGTGGTTTCAACAGCTGGGCTGCGCTCATAGCACATGCGCAGTGAAATAGGTTCGCGCAGTGGGTTGTCCGGTGAATACTCGGTGAAGGCTTTGGTGTGAGCTAAATTTTTTTTAATGTTTTGTTGATATTTCACAGGCGCAAGCTTTTTATATGTTATACCAGTAGATTACCGATTTAACTGTTTATATAATTTCATTTGTCTATTTTACCACACGTTCTTCTTACCGAGTCACTTTCTCAGTTCGATACCTAAAAGCAATGTCATTATTTAGCGTTGACAGAATATCTAACTGTGATGATACAGATATGTCGTTGTCACAGACAAAACTCAGTGTCGGTTTTATTGACACCTATGTGTCTGCCTGCCTGTCTGCTAATGACAATATTCAATACACAACTTCGATCACTGACCACATGCAATTTGAACTTAACACCTATCAGGCTATACACCATAAACAAAACGCATTGATTTATGGCCCGAGTTCGGTCTCTGTCACATTATATGTAATTAGACAGACAGGCAGGTGTGATACTTTGTACACATGACATGTTATGATGTCTGTTGATTGCAAATTGTTATACACAAGAAAATGAGCATGTATTTACGGTTCATTGCCGGGAATGCTAAAATCGTGACGCTTCTCGGTTCAATGAGCGTAGCCTCTCGCGGTACTTTGCAATGGCTGTGAAAGTTATGTGAGGTATGAGTATGCCCTGTTTTACCGCTCTGCCTTCTCCAAATTCAGATCAGGTACTGCTCCTCTGCATTTGGAAACCGGCAGATATACAAAGGTGAATGTGAATGAGAGGGTATGTTTTCAGTGCAGTGAGAGTGTTGAGGATGAAAGACACGTTCTGTTGTATTGCCCTATGTATGATGATTTGCGTGAAAGTTTATATGAAAATGTCTGTTTTAGCTATCCCAACTTCTTAGATCTTTGTGATGATGATAAATTAGATTTACTTTTAAACACCATGTATATTTCAGTGCCAAAACCTGCTTTTATATCTTGCAAAGAAGAAAACATATTTTATACGGATAGATTTTATACTGTATGTACCTATATAATTATTTATTATTTGGTATTTATAATGTATTAATACATTAGTCTCTCATAACCCTTAAAGGGTGGCTCACTTATATGCTATATTTTATAAATATATTTATATATGTATTTTATGTGAGGTGAGACTGACATAAAATATCTGTCTGTCCGCAATGTTATGGTTAAATGAACACGGGGCGCCTCACTCGGAGGCTCTGACAAATTACAAAGAAAACAGGATTAACGTGGACGCTCTTTAATTTGGGCACATACAAAATATTAACACAGCTATACGTTTTCATTTCACAGTATACATTTTCTTGAATTCGACATTAAATTGTCATTATCCATAGTAAATCACATTTCTGTCAATCTACGTCGAGCTTAAGACAATTTGAGAAGTTCAGACACGTGGTCTGTGTAGGATAATCCCCGATGATGTTGTTCACAAGGTCCTTCAGGATTAAGTTGACTCTAACCTGCGCACCTGCCATCACGAATATGTGTACGATAGTTCGGTGTCAGTTTGCAACTTAAATATTATAGCAATGTTTTCGAATTGAATACATCTGAAATAAAAACGCCACTTAAATACAGGTCTAAACAAGCGAAGAAGATAAAGATGCCTGCTACATATTGAAGTTGGAAGATACCATAATGTACCTAGGGAAGAAATAATATGTGTCCATTTTTATCTTTAAATCTTAATCGAAAAGAAGACTGGTTCAAGTCTTAATAAATTCTATGTTCTATTCTGTTCTGATAAATACTCTATTATAACAATGTTTTGAAAAGAAATGTATCTACTTCTAAGGCATGGATTATGCTTCCCGGCACCGTATCTTTAGCTTTGGCGGTACTCCCCTAATTAGCTCTCCCGGGAAACTGAAAATATACATTTTAGCCTTCCCGGGACATCTGAAAAAATACATTTTAGCCTTCCCGGTACGACACCGTATTTACAAAACCTAACATCTATCTATATATACACACACAATGAGCCGTGAAGGCATCGGCAAATGAACCAGCCGTTACACTTGAGTGCACACCCACCCGCTCTGACTGGGTTCGGTATCCCGGCTGCTTCGTTTCAAGGGAAGTAAACCCAAGTACAAAATATTGCACTTTTGATTTGCGATTGTACGCCTTTAATTTTGTTTATATGTTTTTTCATGATCAGATTTGTATATCATATGCCATAAATAAGTGATAACTGTGTTTTAATTATGTTTGATTTTTGGGTTGCATGTGACCTTTAAGCAATCCACTCCTTTGATGATCTCCTAGGTGCTTTATCGCGATAATGACATCGCGAGATATCGAACGAGCCTACAGCTCAGCAGGAACAGAAATCGTGACAATTGTTGTGAAAAATGAAAGCTATATGTTCGCACAATCTGCTGTCATTTAATTTTGTCACCTTCTTTGCCTAGCCTCCGAGTGGGCCTAGGACAAATGCCATCCGGACAAAAGCCACCCGGACAAATGCCACCTAGGACAAATTGCACCCAAATAAAAATAAAAACCACCAACACAAATAACATTTTTAAAAAGTCAACATTATTATTACATCAAAATTTTACATGAAAATCAACTTTTTTATCAAAGTGAATATATTTTTTTAAGAACCCAAATTATTCATCAAAGTCTACATAATTTTACAACAAAATCAACATCAAAATCAATATGGGTGGTAATTGTCCTCTCTGTAATGGTAAAATAACTGGGTGTCATTTGTCCGGGTGGCTTTTGTCCTCCTCCCCTTCCGAGTTACAACTTGTTTTCATAGACGATTCTGTTGTAATTGCCTGGTGTCGCTGGGCCTTATTTGTTCGAGCCAGCCGCTAGTGATAGTGAAGTGAAATCTATGATCAGCCTCGCTCATCTCGGTTACGGTTAATTACTTCAACCTAAACAGTGCGACGTTGGGAAGGGTGGATGCCCATCAGATGCCGTTATTTGAAAATTTCCCCGGTAGTTCTTGTCTGATTGTATTAAAGTATCAAAGCAGTGTGGGCTTTTGCAGGTTTTCTAATGCCTGGATGGTAAAATGACTGATCATAATTGATCCCATTTCTGTGGGTTTTTTACCTCGATATTTATTCACGTCATTTAAAAATAATATTAAAAATGACATTTGATCTATTTGAATCCGTAAACTAAACAACCCCACTTTGCCATTGCTAGAAGACTCTGAAAATTTATTTAGGTGAATAGGTACATACAGTTTTAGCACACAGCAAATGCTTATATGTATTTCTTTGGCAACAATGAAGTTCTGTCCGTATTCTCAAAATAGTGTCGGCCCATAGGTTTTCACATGCAATTAAAATCGCATGCAATACAGCAATTAATACTCCCTTGTTGTAACCCGTGTTAGGTGGTATAAACCTACACATGTTATTTGTCATCATTCACTTGATGGTCAGTTAATGAATTTAAAACAGGTATAATTAGTGGTAACACCACTTGGATAACCCGACAAAGGTTCCCATTTTTCATTTCTTGTGTCTGGAGTAAATACTCAACATTATAAACATCGATCAAAGAATTAACCGATAACACGCTGATTGATTAATTACTTGTATCTTACACAGACGATTTGTCGAAAGGTAGTCTTCATGTATGTAGATTTACTAATCTATACTGAATACACTCTGTCGTGTCGGTGTCTGCGTAAAACAACTTCCTTCTTTCAAAGGATTAACCGCCAAGACATTGATTGATTGCTCATAAATTACTTTTTTGTAAAGAATGGTGGGCATTATGCGATTAGTTCCCAGGTATGCTATCTTGGGTGACCAATGAGACTATATACCAATGTGAAATACCTGAAAAGATTTGTCACTTTTCGTAAACATGTATTAGATGTATCATTTGGAACAGCTGCAGGTGAATGGCATATCACTCGTTTTTGTGGATATTGATTGATACATTCCTCGAACAAAGTAATAGCCTGACATTGTTCTTATAACTCTTATCTGTTTTAATTTTAACAATTGCATTTTATTTTTATTCATTTGTCGTCGCATTCAACAGAATCATTGTTTTCGTCGTGAAGTAATGAGAC